TGCCACGTTTCAAATAGCTGATAGGTTAATAAGATGCCATTCGGCAATCCCTCTATTTCTTTTTCTAAAGTCCAAAACTAATAGGTGTGTGCCTAATATTTTACAGGTAAGTTGAAGCAGCCGAACACAATTCAATCAGACATTCGGAAGGTTGATCGCTTGAAATTGAAGGTGCATGCTGCTAACAGAATATACCCGGACTTCCTCTTCACCGAGAATCAAATCCGAGCCCGTCTCGTCAACCCTGCCGAGAGTAAGTGGTTTCCTGTATTTCGAGTCATTCGACATCTCTTTTCATCTAACCAAATCATTTTTTTGTTCAGTGACTGATACCAAGAAAGCTTCTTAGGCGAAGAAAATGTATGAGTCTTCCAAGAGGCGTCTCCTTCTGGGCGTCAAGGCCAATAAGCAATGGCACCAACAGCCCGAATCAATATGTATGTCGTTGTCAGTGATGATTGCCTAAGGGATACCGAATCGGCAACAAATGTGAGTCTAGAAAAAGTCTTCCATTATTGATGTCGTAATGGTCGCCAGAGCTTCGGCTTCTACCCATACGGTGAAGTATTCAACGATAACGACAGCATACTTAACTCGGCCTTTGCCTTGCGGCATCGGGCCAATTAGATCGAGCCCCTATTGGGCGAAAGGCCAAGGGCTTATAATAGGCGTCAGTGGCTCGACAGGGATATGGGGTACATTACCAAATCATTGGCATTTGTCGCACTTCTTCACAAGCGTGGCTGCATTCTGATGCATGGTTGGCCAATAATTATCCTATCGAAAGGCCTTGTGTGCCAACGATCGGGATCCCGAGTGGTCGCCATAGACTCTGTCATGGATCTCCTGCATAATGTAGTCCCCTTGTTCGGCAGTGATGCACTTTCGGTAAGGGGTGGTATAGCCATGCCTGTAAAGAATATTGTTGATGACGGTGTATCTCGCAGCTCAGTACTGTAGCTTTCTTGCCTGAGACTTCTCATTGGGTAAGGTACTATTCGTCAGTTAAGCGTAAATTAGAGACATCCATGTATCCTCATACCGTACTGCGCATGCTTCAGAAGTTGTCGTACTTGGCTGAGCCAAAATCTCCATCGGAACCTTTCTACTGACCATGTCATTAATGGCCGAAGCTAATCTAGCCAATGCGTCAGCATGACTGTTTTCTGTTCTGGGTATTTGCCATAGGCCAGGAATTTCTGAAGCAACTGATGTGCTGTTGATAGGTAGGTTGACATATATATATCCTTGGTTGCGAAATCGACAGTCACTTGGTTCACAATGAGCTGGGATTCACTATTGATGTTGATCTGTCTGGCGCCCATACTTTTGGCTAGCCAAAGGCCGACCAAAAGAGCCTTGTATTCTGCTTCGTTGTTAGAGGTTCTAAAGTTGAATCGGATGGCATATTCCATTTTGACCCTGTCAGGGGCGGTCAAAACTAGGCCGGCTCCGCACCCCTGCTAGTTGGCTGAACCGTCTACGTGCAAGACCCAAATTGGGACCAACTGGTCGAACTAGCTGGCATTGCGTAAACACGGCTTATCTATATCGGAATCCGCCGATTCTACCGAAGGCCTTAGCTCATGTATGAAATCAGTCACCTCCTGACCTTTCTCGGCTGGTCTGGGTTTGAATTGTACATCAAACTCCCCTAGTTTAATCACCCATTTAACCAATCGGCTAGACATTTCCGGCTTCTGGAATACTTGCCGAAGTGGTTGGTTGGTTAAAACTATGATTGAATGAGCTTGAAAATAGGGACTGAGTTTTCGCGCTGAGGTGATAAGGGCTAGGGCCAGCTGCTCAAGAGGAGGATAGCAATGTTTTGCTCTCTGTAGTGCTTTGCTGACATTGAAGTTTGGCAATTCAGCTTTTTCTGGTTTCCGAATCAGTACGGAACTGACTGCACTCTGGGGTACCGAGAGGTATAGAAACAAGACTTCTCCAGGAAGTAGTGGTGCCTTGCTCATGTAGTTCTTCAGGTCTTGAAATGCTTGGTCGCATTCTGCGGTCCAAATGATATGATGTTTGCACCCTTTCAAGGC